AGCGAAGTAGCAGGTATATGAGAGTGCCTATTTTGATAGGCTCTTGTTTGCTTGAAAGCACTGGCACGTAGCATATTTTTGTTTGCAAGTTTTAGTTAGTTTTTTTTTTTTGTGGTTGTAAGTATGTATTTGTTATTGTTGGTAGTGAGTTAAGTGGGTATGTGATATAGTTCCGTTGGTTAAATGCATAAATGATATGACTTATGTTTTTATTTAGAGGTTTAGAAAATATATATTTGAACTATTGCGTTGTTGGTTGAAAATTCGTCGTAGCTTGTAGCTTTTATATATAAATTCATATATATCTATGTATATATATATATATATATTCTATGTAACTAACACAGCTTTTTTCTGGTTCCAAGAATGCTAAGCTTAATAACGTAGTGGAGAGAAATTATATCCAAAAAAACTTTTCAAAATAAAATTTCGTGGTCTATATTTAGTTTTTCAAGGAAACAGAACTGACTAATATTGTGTGACTCAATTATTTGCCATACATTTTCTGATTATATGCTGATAGTCAACAAAATAATTGCTTTCCAAAAACAACTTGCGTGAACTCATTTCTTCGTGTTCTACACCATTTTGCAATTTGAAATTAGGAAAAAGTGTCCCTCAGTTGAAAATTAAGATTAAGTGTACTTCGGTTAAAAGGTCTCACAAGTTTTAGCTTTGCTCTTGCAATAATTGTTCGAAATTTCAAATTTGTTAATTTTCTGAATAAATAGTGCTTATAGGTAGTCTTTGATTTTTACGCAAGACACTTTTTTTTTTTTCTAAGCTTCTATTTTGACCGCTAAATGACTTTGTATTCCTTTTCAAATCGAAGAATAATAAATCCGAAAAAACAAATCATTAACTGCGATTGCACCTAAGCTGGTATACTCTTCGCTAGCGATGCTTCTATGCAAGAACTTTATTCTGATTTTTCAGTTTGTATGACAGCTATATGATACTATGATCAGATTTAGGAAATTTCGTCAGATATTGTGGCATAGTTTTAGGAAATAATTTATATTAAATTTCGTTAAGATATCTCGCCAATTACAAACAGCTATATGCTTTAACGATCCGATAGCAGCGATTCCGACGAACGAGTAGCTTCTCGTAGAGAGATTCAGATCGATATCTCAAAAACAGAGAGACTTGTTCTCATATACTCTGTGACATTTGAATTTAAACTGCGCTCGTCGAAGGATTTGAAGAATTTTTTTTTTTGGTTGGTAGTGCTGACAGTCACATTTATGTCAGACTTCATGTCAAAATATTCATTAGTGTTTGCGATACGTGTCGTTTTGTGCGGTGCTAAAAGTGAGTTTTTGGTTTTTGCGATGTCGAAATTTTGTTGAGCAAAGAATTTGCATGAAATGATCATTTTGCCAAAAAATTCAAACCATATGGTTCCGCAACCACCGTATTCACCTGATCTGGCGCCGTTCGACTGGCTGTTCACCAAGCTCAAAAGACAGCTCCGGGGACACCGTTTTTACACGATATTCAAGCCACGGCGTAGACGGAACTGAAGGCCATCCCGGAAAGTGACTACAACCAGTGTTTCGAAGATAAGGAAAATCCGTTGGCGTAATATACTACATCTAGTGGGTATTACTTTGAAGGGGATGCAATTGATTTGGAAGAATAAATAAAGAATTTTCAAAATAAATACAATGTCACCTTACTTTTTTGGCACAGTATACAGACAGGCACAGGCAGACGGACAAACAGAATCTGGCTAATCGACTCAGCTTGTTACACTGATCATATAGGATATATATTATATTTTATAGGGTCTTAGATGTTGCCTTCTTGGTGTTACAAACATCGTGGCAAACTCAATATACCCTTTAAATGGCAAAAACAGGTCCGCGAATATAAATAAAAATTCCGAAAATTTATTCCAAATAATTGCAGTTGATCACTAGCTTTTTAGAAATGTATGATTTAAATTTGTTGTAAATCTTATGATAGAATTAATTTTCTTTTCGTTATCTTTATAACGCTTTGGAAAAATTTGATACGTAGCTTTTCTCGTATTAATTTTGATATAAACTTCTAGCATAAAAATGGGAATTCAACAACACGGTTTTCAGTTGAAAAGAGATCTCATTAATATGGTATAACCACTTGCTAAGCTGTTTATACTAGCTTGTTACCAGTATATTACAATTTATACCAGTTGGCCAGTTAGTGTGCGATTCGCTGCTCATAAGTTATTAGTGTGTGAAGTAGAGTTCTGCTTTTTCGACTTATTTATTTTGGCACTTATGCCAATTTACAATATGTCCATTTATTTCGGCAGATCTCTATAGTAAAAAAACGGAAGATCACTTCGCTATGCAAAATTTGAATCTGCGAGCAGATTTGAGAATCGTCGCATAGATTTACAACWTTGTAATTAGTTTAAAAGCTCTTAGAAGCACCGATTCAGTCTTAATATGCTTAAATATTGGGTAGTCAAAAAAGTCTTTAGCATTTTGTCAATAGATGTCGTTGCAGTCGTATATCTTCAGTGCTAAATATGACATTTTGTCATACCATATACATAGTGTTGGAAATATGATACTTTAAGTTTCCAAACAAAAAAAAAAAAAAAATTATTTGGGGAAGTTGAAAAAAGTTACAGCTGTTCTAAAATGAGTGAAAACAATTAAGAAATTCGCTATATTTTGAATTTTTGGATAAAAAAGGGAAGAATGCCACGCAAGCCACCAATGAAATTTGTGAAGTTTCCTAAATTTCGATTGACACTGGAAAGTTTTAGCGGAAAAATGGCAAAAAGTGTTCGACCAAAGAGGTACATATTTGTTTATTTAATTATTATTATGAATATAAAAAAAGTTGAAGTTTGATTACAAAATTATCGACATTTAGAAATATAAATTTGGAAAAATTCACAAAAATCATRTTTAGTTATACGCATCATGGTGGGAACCCTTTTTTGTAGCGTTAWGAAGGAGAAGCAGATTATTCTCGAACTAAAATGTTTCATTAAATTTCCTGCGCCAATACTGGCCAAGCTTTTATATGGCTTATATCAGACTGCAAAGAAAACTTAGCAACAATGAAACTTAAGCTGCATAAAAATGTGAAATTAAATTCTTCGGGAATACTTTCGGCTGATGCYATTTAGACATATTTACACTTTTCAAAAATGCTCTTAAGAAGTATTTATATACTTCGACTTAAGTACTTAAGGTTGCATTTGTTTTTAGAAATACACATGTATATGCACGAGTATGTGTGCCGTATATTTGTGTCTAGTTGCAAGTTGAAAGCTTGTTGTTTGCCAAATTGGAGTTCAGCGAGTTCAACTGTCAGCAATTCTTTTGTTTTTGCTGTTTTTTTTGTGTATATGTCTAAGGTCAAATAGCGGTAAGCACAAAGCTGACTTTTGACATCGGTGTGTAAATATGTTTCTGTGCTTTTGGGATGTCTATGCTTACTATTTTCGATTTGTCGAAATTGTCTTTCGAAATTTGTTTGCTAAAATTTTCGATTTTGCTTGCATTTTTGACTTTTCACTGCATTTGGGTCACAAATTGTGCTTGCATAACCGTAGTTTTGGTTCGCAAAGTAAATACGGTATTTAGTGTGGGAGTGGCGCTCTTTGCCACATACATATCTATTGTTTGTGTGTGTGTCTTTAAACTCTTTAGTGTCTATTTGTGTATGTATGTACGTGTTAGTGTAGCAATATTCTTTGTTTGTGGCATGTTGTGCGCTGTGTATTTGTTATTGTATTTGCTGTGCGCATTCGTGTTCATTGCGATTGTTGTATGTGTGTTGCATTAACAATTTGTTTGCATTGCTTTCAATTTATTTATGCTTTTTTGGCCTTTCATTAACTTCGTTTCAGTTAGCG